GACCGGTACTGACCGGCAGGTTTCTCAATATCAGTTTAGTGGGTCTGAACTCTGAGCTGTGGGCTGAAACGAAGGCCGTCGTTAAGTGTTGAGGCCCTGGCTGACCCACTCCCCCTCTACGACCTAGTAAGGCTGATGATCTGTGTCTGACGACTCGACTGTCCCGGGGGACACGAACCCTCCCAAGGACCGGTACAGACCGGCGGGCTGCTCGGTGTGGCACAGGTAGGCCGGAACGGCTAGTTGTGGGCTGAAATCGCCAGGAGGGTTGTGCTGACCGCGTCGTCCTGTCTGCGACGTTAAAGAATTCTTGCGGAGTTTGGGGGATCTCCTTAAATGCCTCCTGGTCAGCACAGTCTGTAGTGACAGCCCTAGGTCTAGGCTAGAGACCGTAGTAGTGTTAGTGTAAAGTCAGAGACTGRTCTCTCCTGGAGGAAAGGCTCCTTCCCTTTGTGGGGAAGTGGTTAGGGTTGCCGGCCTACCTGGGGGCATAGGTACCCAGTGGGACCCTVATCCCGTGAGAGGAAAGTTTCGTGTTAGTTATTGGAGTCTACGTCAGTCAGTAAGTCAGTGTGTCCGGGTAGGTCTACGTGGTGAGGAGTGGGACCCCTGTCGTGCACCAACACCACGATGGATGATTATCCGATGTATGGGATACTTGTTGGGTTCTCCCTCTGGGGGACCCTTTGGCGTCTCCTCTTCCCTCTGGGCTTTTGGCCCACTTTCACGTGTAGAGTAGGGCCCACTCGTGGTGGGACTTCCACCACCCCCTACACGAAGGAGGAGGAGGAGAAGATGGCCGCCCTTTTACAGGAGAAAAAGGAGAAGAAGGAGGCCAAGAAGAAGGCCTTGAAGGAGGAGCAGGCGGCCAAATTAAAAAAGATGGAAGAAGAGATGGCMAGGGAGAAAGAGAAGTTGAAAAAGGAAGAAGAAGAGAAGCTGAGGGAGATGGATGAAGAAGAGGAAGGTCCGTCACTGCAAAAGAGTAGCGGGCAGCCCAGAAGTGGTAATGGTGGGAACCTGGAGAAGAGAATATCCGAGTGGGTTGCCAACCTGACTGTGGGAGAAGAGGAAGAGGTTAGTATGTATATTCCGCAGGATCAGCAAGAAGCTGCCATGAGGGCTTGGGATGCAGAGAAAGACCCCCTTAGACGCCAGGCGTTGGAAGATGAGAAGAGGATGGAGTGGAAGTTAGCAAGGCGGCAGAGGCCGCAAGGATGAAGAGGATGGAGAAAAAGAGGAGAGTTGACAAGGCGGCAGAGGCGGCGGAAGCACTAGAGGAAGTGAAAACGATAGAGCAACAATTAGCCGCCCAACCCGATTTCCCGAATCAGATGCGAGTCATGGCTCGAAGCATCGCATGCCTGGCACGAGTCCAAGCAGATCAGTATGACTTCAGCAGGAGTCAAGATATAGCTGTGCGCTCGATACGATTGGGCTTTAGGGACTTTGCTCGTGAACTGGTAGGCGCCGTTGGGGCTGAGGTGGGTCATCGCCTCGACAAGACTGAGCGGTTTTGTACTGGCGCCATTGAAGGCGTCAAGGCGGCAGCCCCCAAGGAAGAGGAACCACGCCCGCCACGTAGAGAGCCGATCAAGGTCAAATTCCCAGATTCCTATAGTGGGAAGAGGGAAGAGAACTTTGATAATTGGGAGGCCAACG